TTCTGGGTGGCACACGTTGCTGCGACTTCACAGCTTTTGAAGAATCCTGTTAGGTGGGAAAGGGAAGCCTGCAAGTGTCGGAGGCCAGGCAGGGGCTTTTACAGTCAAATTCAGAGCTGGCTTCAATATCGGGAGCCCCTGGTGTATACACAATCTCAGACGTCGTAGCGACAGCCTGCTTTACTCAGATTACTGAGCCAGCGGCCAAGTCCTCAGGGAGGTATCAACAGAAGCAAAGAGGTTAGAAGCCGGCTGCTTTTTTGTTCTGATTTTAAAGTTTGTTTCTTTAAATATATGTAGGTGGCAAAAAATGTTCATGCATTACCAGGGATAGATACAACAAGAGATGAATCTCTGTGACTTTGGCCTTCAGTTTCCTGCCCCCCTCTCAGAAGCACTGGGAGACCAGGGTCTCCAGAGCCTGTGGACGTGTGTGTGTGTGTGTGTGTGTGTGTGTGTGTGTGTGTGTGTGTTACCCCTAGTTTAGGGGCCATAAATGCTCTGTAGCTTCTTTTCTCCACTTGGTAATTGATCTGCTGATCATTCACTTTGGCAGCTGCACACATCATTATGGATACGTGGCAATTTATTTAACAAGTTCCCTTGGGATGGACTTTTATTTCTAAGACATTTCCTAACAACAAACAATGCAGCAACAAAATTTCTTATAAATATGCTTTTGGTAATTCATGTAAGTGAAATTGCTGGAACACACAATCTTAATTAAATTGTTTTAGTTTTATAGTCTTCTGGGAGGCTAATAACTGTCCTCCGATATATACTCTCCTTTTCCTCCACAGTAATAGAATCCCTGGTTTTTAGCTGGATACACAGCCACCTGGGATAAAGGTTCTCTTTTCCGGCCTTCCTTGCCGGTGGATGTGGCCATGTAACTAAGTTCTGGCCAATGGGACGTAAGTGCGCTCAGTTAATTTGGTTTCCAACAAATAGGGAGAGCAAGACTTCAGTGGGAACAAGGAATGTCTTTGGTTTTGCAGGGTCCTCCCTTCACCTTCTGCCTCATGGGCCTCATTTTCAGACTTCATGGATCATTGTCAGCCTCACACAGAAGTTGTCCCTTCCGTTTGTGGCTTTCCTCCCTCAGAGACACTGGGACCAGGCTCATAACCCATTGCCTTCGCCCTCCCCCTTCCTTCAGGTTCTAGCAGCTTACCTCCACTTTGGGAGGATGGGGGACCAAGTGACCTTGGGGACAGCTGATGCATTGTGGGGGCACAGGCTTGTTTTTGGAGATGAGGAAACACTGGCATCATGGCTACCATTTACTACAGAGCATCCCCAGTACTCTGTGCTGAGCCACCTCCTGGAAGGCCGATAGGGAAGTACTGTCCCTTCCATGACAAGGTGTCACTGACAAGCTGCCTGAACTTTGCAGCCCCAGGTCCTGAGCCCAGGAAGGG